CCTGAAATTAGCTAACTAGATGAAATGAGACAGCCATTCACCAGACCAACTGGTACAAACGATCACTTTTAAGACTGTAAATGGAGTGTCTAAGTTTTTTGATATCAAGTACAGGGTTGGAACGAGGTGATTTGAAGTTTTGTACCTATGAACCTTTCTTTGTTTTTTTGGAAAGGCTGTTGTAAAGCTTCATACTCTTGGTTTCCAGAAGTCTTTAATTTCTGGTCTAAATTTTCTCACTGGTAGTTTATAGACATTTTCTCTAATATCAGTTTATTCTGTTAGCTTACATCACTTACTGAATTTGCTGTTTACCCACTCTAATGTAGTTCAGATAACAATGGAGTTTTTTCTCAGCCTTTATTTGTCTCAAGTTGAACAAGCCACACTCTTCTAGACTTCTTTTATAAAACAGGACCATTTTTAGCTTGAACCAATCTATACTATAGCATTAACACACAACTGTACATTGGCATTGCTCCCCTCCTCAGTCTTCTGGAAGCAACTTGCCCAGTTAACATTCACAGCATACATCTCTATTGCAGTATTGCCTTGATGGTGCCTGGGATGAGTGATGGTACCATGGAGTCATTATCCTTCTCCAAAGGGTGTCCTCCCAACTTCTTCCGACTATAAGCCATACATCCTTATTGATACACAATCATGTATCTCCCTGTTTTACTAATTCCATCCTTGAGTAAACCAAATTCTTCTCGCTTCAATCCACCTCTGATTGAACCCATGCTTTGCCCTCTTTGCCTTTAATGGTTCATTATTTCATAATTTGTTCTAAAGCTTTGCACACCACTCTTGTCAGACAACATATCTCTTTTGGCCTTGCTTGTCATTTCTCCCTTTCTTAATGACAGTTATTACACTTTGTGTTCTCCAATCTAAAAGTGTTACCACTCTTTTGATGGATGGATTAAAATTTCTCTTTAATGCTACTGCAATTTTATGTACCCATTCTTTCTGTTTGTTTCCTTGATGGGAGAACCTTTAACTGCACCTTTCCACTCATGCTTTTGCCTTATAGGAGATTGTTTCCATTCTTCTTGCCCTCAGTCATCTTGTCTTTACTTCTGTGTTTTATTTCAACGAATCTCAAAATAATCTTTCTCACCTACCACATTCACCAATGCTTCCTAATGTTTCTGTTCATATTAAGAATTGACCTGAATTGTCTATTTAATTTGGGATTTGAATATATACAAACATCCAGGCCACTCTTAATCTGCATCAACCTCACTTCTCTTGTTTTCAAGAGATATGCTCCTCTTGTTTTCATTATGATGACTTCTGTTTTCAAGTGTGTTGATTTGCTGTGAATTTGGGAAGTTAGTTCATGCCCCTTTTTGACACCCGAGAGGCAGCTGTCACTGCTGATCAGGCCTCTTTTCTGTCCTTCAGGGCTCTTCTATCCTCTTGTGGTTCTTGAGGAGGTGGTTAGGTTGGCTGCTTTCATCAGAATAGTATCACAGAAAATCCTAGAAGCCCTGGAGATACCTGGTCCAACCCTCTGCTGTGAGTGGGTTAAGTTATCTAAGATATTGTCAAGCCCAGTGTTGAATACTTGAAGCCAAGTTCCACCATTTCTTTGGGCAACCCACTCTGGCATTTACTTTTTCGTATGCTGAAGATCCCTCTGAGACAACTTGAGCCTGTTGCACTCTGTCCATTCGTTACCTATCTGCGTGAAAAGAATGCTTCCATCTTCTTTGTAACTACCCTCTGGGTATTGGAAAACTATAATTAGATACCCTTGAACCTTCTTGTCTTGTGGTCAGACAAACTCAATTCCTTCAGTCTTTCTTCGTAACTAGAGATCCTCGACCCTATAATCACATTGGAGGCCATTGGTAGAAGCTTCTCCCATTTTTCAGTGTCTCCCTTGAGCTGAGGAGACTATACTGGTGAGTCTCTGCTGGGGAGACTATACTGGATGTGGATTGAGAAGTGCCAAGCAAAATGGGAGAAGAAAACATCCTGTGACCCACTGGCTGCAGTTCTGCTGATGGAGCCCAGGATACAGTTTGCCTTTGGTGCTGCAAAGATGAAATCCATTTCCATTCAGCTGTCCACCAGCACTTCCAGGTTCTCATCAGCAGACCTACACTCCTGTCTGTCGTATTTTACTTCTTTCCTTTTAAGGCAAATTCTAAAGAATTTTGTACTTATGACTTACAGAAACCCTGGTCTTGCTTCATATTTATCTTTACCCTCTGGCTCACTGATTAATTCCATCTGATTCGAAACTTGTCAAAATGTTTCTTTTTGACATTAAAAGATAATTGTTTAACTGAAAACTTACAACTCATGTGACAACATCCAGTCTCCTTAAGAGAATTAGCACCTACTGCATTGATATCTTCCCCAGTACTACTTACCTTCTTGCTCATACTGCATTTTATTGTAATTCATCTTTATCCAACCAGGGGACTGGATAGTGGATATCTTATATGACTCCAGAGGAATGTGTTTTACTATGATATTTTATCCAGATCTTTTTTTTTTTTTTTTTTTTTTTTTTTTTTTTTTTTTTTTTTTTTTTTTTTTTTTTTTTTTTTTTTTTTTTAAACTCCAAGATATTCCTTCAGAGATTCTGCCTTTTGGTTCTTTCTGTGACATAAAAAATTTCTTCATCATCCCAGCTTTTACCTCTGCTTTTTCTAGATTTTTTGTCTGTGCTCTAGGCATGTCTGCTACTTCACTATTTCATTTTCATTATTTCAGCAGCAATTCTGGAGTTGCTACAAGACCTACAGACTTCCTAAGCCTGTGAATATTAGTAAAGTATAGCCTTCTGATTTGAGTGACTAGAAAAACAATGTGAATGCATTCCTTTTTCACCTAATCAACAGTTCATTATTGCTGACTCCTTGACAGTTCCTGGAAAGACTTCCTTGGAAGCAGAGGAGGAACTGATGCATCCCACCAGAGCCTCTTTTGAGTACATTTCAAGCTGCAATGCCAGAAATTAGAGGGTTTTTAATAGTTCTCCATGTTTACCTATGTATGAGAAGATCCACAACTTCTTTCAAATATTTAATTGCTTTTTCCACCATTATTTATTTCTGTATACATATCTGTTTCTACTTGATTATTCTGATTCATAATCTAGTGTAAACATTATTTTAATTTCATGCTTCCCATTGCTTAGACCTTTCATCTTGGGTTCTTAAACATTTCAGGTAAGATCAGGAATTGTTGCAAGATAACTTATGTCTTCATTAGAAAAGGCACAATACTACACGAGCAGATTAGTAAGTTAAAAAAATTGGCATTGAGGACCCAGCTTCCAAACTGTACTTGAGATTATCTTGAACTAGCTCTACTCTGGTCCTGTGGCCTGAGTTCATGTTAACAATTGGAGAACATCAAGAGAGTTTCTGAAAACCTTTACCAGATTTATTTTATCTGAAAGGAACTAATATTTGGAGACTCCAAGAGTGCTCCCAAATGCAAGTACAGTGAGTGGTGATCAGAAGATCATGGTTTTAAGTTCCCATGTGTAGAACAACTGGCATACTAACGCAGAGTATCTCACTTATAAGGGCAGGAAAAAAATTATAAGCCAGTCTGAAATGTCTTTGATATTATTTTAGCAGCTATTGAACCAGAATTGCTGGTTTTCCAAAAGGAAATTCTCTTATGGAAAGAGGAGAGCAGTTCAGTGCACTGATGGAAACCAGAGTTGGTGTTCCTGAATTCTGAGTCCTTTGAAGTTGAAACTCAATATGTATATTTACTTAAGCAAATCTGTGAAAGGGCTGTTGTACTTTGCCTGTGCACATGGAGGCAGAGGTAGAAAACCACAGCTAAAGCCTGGTGTGTAGTGGCTCCTCTGCTACCAATATCCACACTAGCAAGATTAAAATAAACCAACACTAGCTGTTCTGACACGTTACAGTTTCTCCTTCAATTTTGCTGCACAGATATGCACAGAATAGGCTGATGTGGCAAACCAGAGGTATAGAAAAAGGATGAAGTAAGAGTCTAGAGCCCTCTACACATTAATATGAACCAGTAAGATTAGGTGGGAGGGGAAAGTTCCTCTCGCAACTCTTTTTCAAAAGTTTTGGTAGTTTTTCTTAACTGCCATATAGACTTTCCTAGATATTGACTCTCAAATCATAGATAAAATTAATACTCTTTCACAGCAACCAAACAATGGCACTAGGAAACCTATTCCCCTCTTTATGGTAACTAACTAACATAGAGTTTAAAATATCAACACGTGGCCCGTTGCGGTGAATGAATCCAAGCTGGGACAGACCTTGTCCAAGCAGAACTAACTTGTAACTTTATTACCCCATATATATATACAGAATAGGAGTCTGAGCTATCAAGCCAGGCCAGTGTTTATAATCCCCACACATACCACACATGCCCACGTGACTGCTTTCAGTCAAAAAGAACAATCATGCCTCAAGTGGCTTTCCAGCTTGACCTTGTCATTCTTTTTACATGCACTATCCTTAGCTCTGGCTCACTCAGGACCACAATATTTTTGTTTTATTGTTTTCTTCTTCTTCTTTTATCATCCAGGTGGCCAGTGTTGTCTGTCTGGCTGCTCCTACAGCCCATCATTAGTAGAGCAATCTTGCTGTTGCTTAGCTGTCAAATTTAATGAAGGTGACAGGAGTTAAATTAGCTCTGAGACTTTTGAGTCTCTCAAATTTGGAAGAAACCGCTGACTTTGCTCAGAAATTTCTGTCAAGGAAGGAACTAACAGCTAAAAAACTGCCTAAGTTTCATTTCCTTAGGAAAAAAGATTAGCAACCCAATCTGCCACAGTACCTATGTTTTGATTAGTTTAAAGTATGCTACTTGAGACTGTATTTTGTTCTTTTTGAAAAGAATACTTTTGTAGTTTTGGAAACAAAATATTTGTTTGCTTTACTATCTTTTTTAAAACTTGCTTTATTTTAGTTTGGTGTCAGATATTCATTAGTCTCTTCAAAAAAGCAACGGAAATGTAGTTCTCTCTTGTTTTTTGGGTTTTTGGTTTGGTTTGGTTCTGTTTTTCTGTTTGCTTGTTTGTTTTTTCATTTAAAAATATTTATCACTAGTTAATTCGATCTTTACATTGCCTTAAGAGGACTAGAGGATGTTCATTCATAGCACTTCACAGCTGTTAGTCCAGGTCTTTGAAAAAGGAAGATAAACAACTTTAAAATAAAGTGCATCTACACTCGACTCACAAGAGCTCTTCTATAAGCAGACTTATTTCCTGTGGAGTTGAAGAGGAAATGTACTTAGGGTGTGAAGTACCTTCTTCATTTTTTAACTACTAAAAAGCAAAGGTCGTGCATATTTTTCCGTTCACTTTAAATTCTGAATCTAACTGGAAAGTCTTGCAAGCAGACTCCTCTCAAGAAGCTCTGTTCTAAGTAATATGTTATCCATGGATGAATTTCTTGTATGCCTGACTTTCTGGTGTTCTCATATGTGTTCTGGAAACTGGACAGAAACAGGTAGGAGCAAACCTGTGATCTGATTTGCTTTTTTTTCTGTGAGTAAAAATGACTGGCTTGCTTTGTCACACAATTATGAATGGCACTAAAGAGAATGGTGGGTAAGGGGAATCCCCAACAAACTGTCTCCTGGATTGTTTTAGAAGAGAAGATTGCACCATGCAGTAGATTTCTTCTAGGAAATGTCCTGTGTGTGTTTCTGAATGGTTATGACAGAAAATGCCCACTCTGTAGGCTGGTTTCAAATATTTAATGGATATTTTCTTACTGAGGCTTGAAACACTTGATTGACTTACCCTCCAACATGTGCCCACACCCACACACTTGTGTTTGCACATACAGATGTGATAATTAGCTATTATAAATTGTGCAGGGAATAATGTGAAAATTATCAGGTTCCCCCTCCATGATCACATTTCAACTTGAAATACTCAAGAAGAAATTAAGGCATTACACCATTGCTTTCACATCTTTTTTCTTCCAAATTTAAATATGAGTATTAATTTCTAACAATAAATGTCTGTATGATAAAGTACTTAAACTGTGAAAACAAATGCAACTGTAAGATGGAAACTCAAATGGCACTTCAATTCCTTGCTAAAAACTAGACCAAAAGCTCCAATGCAAATAAAGCCAACAGCACAGAAAATCAGTGTAAGGAGAAGGAATGAATCACAAAACCCAACACGCGGAGAAAATTCTACAAACATAATGAGAGTACTATGAGCGGGGCTGGTCACTGACAGTTTGATGGTCTGAAAAGTACCATTTTGATTTAGTATTGACAAGGTTTGCAAAGTATTAGGCTGATTGAGGGCTATGATTTCCAGTGTTATCAATCTGCAATGAATTTTCAGCAGTCTGTGCTATTTCATGAGGTTGCACGCTGGCCTCTGATGAGGTCAATGAACTGACTTAACACATACAGAAGTCAACAGCTGATTCAAGATTAGTGCCATTTGGTCTTCTCTTCAAAAATCTTCTGTAAAATCTTCCGCATCTACTTGGATGCAGAAGTTCAGATGGCTTCTTGCTTCTTTCAAAGGTGGATCAGATCCTATGAAAATGAAACTGAATAGTAGACTATGAAAATACCAGAGGTCTCGGTACGGAGATTTGCTAAAGTATAAAGGAAAATATACACTCATTTACTGGGAATGAGGGAAAGATACTGTGAGCAATACATGTGATTTTTTTTTTTAATCTATTAATATACAACAAAGGTAGACATATACATATATATTCACAGGAAACATCAGAAAGTCAGAACCACAGACAACATGCCAAATTACAGTGGAATTGTTTTCTTAATGAATTAAGTCTCTCAAAGTGCACTAAAATATTACCTTAAAACTCATGGAAATATTTGTGGAAAAGGTTATGGAAACACTAGCATGTCTGTCTTATGAAAAGCAGGGCTATTAGAGAGTCATAGAATAGCCTGAGGTGGAAAAAATAGAAAGATATATAGAAGATCCATTTGGGGAAACCTATTTTACTAAAATATATCTTTATTTTGCAGAATACTTTACATGCACAAAGGCACAAAGTGCTTATCTGAAGTCAGTATGTTGTACTGATAGCATGGGATTGATACCATTGCCTGCTTAACAGTAAAAGTCAATAGTATGAATGTTGTAGGTGCTAGCGCCTAAAAAGCCTAGGCAGAAGTATTTCAAAGGTCTTATGAAAGAACACTAAAACAACTATGTTTAAATCAAATCTTTTTCTATTTGCCTTATTCTGCTTTTAGAAGTTCTTGTTTTACATATTTTTCCCTACATCCATGCTTGAAAAGTGATTAGAAAAAAATCCCAACCCCAAAACTCTAAAATAAACCCTGCAATTAATGAAATCACTTAAGACAAGAAGGTGAGCCTTTAAAGTGGAAACAAACACTGTAAGATCCATGATTTAACGCCCAGAACTGGCAGTATTTTCAAAGGATATTATGGTGCTGAAAGCAGAAAACTATCAAGAGTATTTTTCCTCATGGAAGAATGAAGAGGAGCTTGTGAAAATGGAAGATTTTAATTAGAAAAACCTGTAGACACTCTGTGATTATAGCACAGGTGGTATGTTTTATAATACCAGCCATACTCTGGGTTGCTGCCGTACCAACAGTTGTGCTGCTTTTCCATTGATACGGAATCAACCTAAAATTGAATAAGATTTGGAATATTATTCTGTTTTATGGGCAACAGATCTTAATCGGGAATTGGATAGGTGTAAAGATTCTAAACAGTAGAATCCTAGAGTAAAAATGCAAGCCATATTTGTCCATCACTGTCTTCTACAATGCCATCATTATTTTCCAAGACAAAGCTTGAAGTCCTACTTATAGGATGGATGAGTACCCAGAATATGAGGGGGTAGTTAATTCCTCTTGATAATTCAGAAAGGAATAATTAGCCTTTGGTGGGGAAAGTTTTTCCCAATCTATACACTTCTTTCCATCCTGCATGAGTTTACCAAATTAAAAAATGAAGGGAAGTATGAAGCAGATGGTTTGTGTCAGTCAAGGTACCATGATTTTAATAATTTCGAACTTTCACCCTAATCACTTCAAGTTGTACCCATCAGCTCATTATCTATCTGGACATCTGTCTCACACACAGAGTGTTAGTTTCCTCTTCCCTTCCTTTGGAAGACTCAACAGCTGATGTGTGTGAGCAATTTTGTTATTGGAAAGAGGGATCAACAATACGCATTTTCACATTGCCGATTGCGTGCAAATGGGAGTATGTAATGGAGACCAAACGGTCTTCCTTCTGTCACATCTCAGGTGGTACAAACTGGTTTTTCAATTCTCTCAAACAATATAATCTCCAAAAAGTCCTTGGAATGCACAAAATACAGTGTTTTGTTTAGAAAAATTGTCGAAACAGTTAATTTTGAGCTTTTCAGAACTTCCCTTTGCCCCGAAAGCTTATTCTTATAAAATACAGTAGATGTTTTGTGCCAGCATTGTCCCCACTGATCATTGGAAACATCCTCTAAATCACAGAAATCCAGTGGTCACAAGGAACAGATAACTACACCCTTCATAATGTGTAGCACTGATGAAGCATATAATTATCTCTAGGAGAGTGGGGAGTTGCTTTTTCTAAATTATTATTAGTTTTTTGTTATTATTAATTTTATTATTAATTTTAGTTTGGTTGCTGGTGGGGTGGGGGGTTGTTGTTGTTTAGGGGTTTGACACCCATCCAACCTGGTCTTGAACATTTCCAGGTGTGGGGAATCCACAGCTTCTTTGGGCAATGTTACAGCATCTCACCACCCTCACAGTAAAGAATTTCATCGTAATACCTAATATAAATCTTCCCTCTGTCACTTTGAAGGCATTCCCCCTTGTCCTATGACTACATGCCCTTGCAAAAAGTCCCTTGCTGGCTTTCTTGTAAGTCCCCCTTAGTCATGAAGTCTGATTATCAAGACATCTACTTTGCAGAAAGTAGTAACATAGTAGTAAAAATAACAATGCTTAGTAATTACATAGCACTGGTACAATGTGTAGGCAAAGTTTTCATCACTTAACACCCTCAAGTGTGCCAACACCTGCCCCTCAAGCCTCCTCCCCAGCATTGTGAAGGAGGAACCAAAGGAGTTTTATCTACTGCTTGATAAGAAAGGGACACTAAGAGGTGAAGTGTGATATAAGGTCAGAACAACTTGGAGAGGATTTTCCAGCCATGAGCTACTTTCCTTGGAAAGTAGTAATAGAGAAAGTCACTAAATTTTAGAGAAATGGAAATCTGGTAGAGTTCTGTTGAACTGGCATGGGCAGTTGCTTACTAACCACTCTGTCAGCACTCTGAGGAGTATGCATAAAACAAAAAATGAAAGGGAAAAAGCTGTAATCAGTGGTCATAGGGAAGTTTGACATGACTTTGCAAAGCCATCATTGGGTATTTGGTGTAAGGTGTTGTATGAACAGAAGGGTGTGAAACCTCTGCTTTGCATGAAGAGTCAGATGACTTCCAGGCAGAAAAATGAAAAAATGCCTGGGTTTCATTTCCTATTGTGTTTGG